TTCTAACTGTTTTAATATTATTTAGTAGCTTTCAGCATAGAAGCCTTGCACATCTTTCATTAGAATTTATTTATTTTGGATACTGATATAAATGCTATCATTTGAAGTGTTTCATATTCTAATTATTTTTTCCAATGATTTTTTGTTAATGTATTGACTTTGTATTCAGGTTCTTACTATAAATTTATTAATTCTGTAAATTCACTTTGAATTTTCTATGTATATAATCATGTTGTCTATGAAAAAGGAAAGTTTTATTTCTTTTTCAATACCTCTGTATTTCTTCTTGCCTTCTTACATACTATTGAATAGAAAATGTTCAGTTTAATGTTGAATAAAAATAGTGATAGCCTCATTCCTGACCTCAGGGGGAAAATGTTTAATATTTATTGGCTTTACTAAAAGCCAATAAATATAATTTTACTGCAGGTTTTTGTAGCTACATTAAAGAACTACAGAATTTTGTTAGATTAAGGAAATTCTTTTTATCACTAGTTTGCAAAGATTTTATTTATTATTATTATTATTTTATTATTTTTAATCCTCACCTGAGGACATTTTTTCCATTGCTTTTCAGAGAGAGTGGAAGGAAGGGAGAGAGAAACATCGATGTGAGAGAGACACATGGATTGGTTGCCTCCTGCATGTGCTCCAACTGGGGCTGGGGATTGAGCCTGCAACTGAGGTACGTGCCCTTGGCCAGAATCAAACCTGGGATCCTTCAGTTCTCAGGATGACACTTTAACCACTAAGCCAAACCAGCTAGGGCAGTTTGCAAAGATTTTTAAAAATCATGAGTGGGTGTGGAGTTTTATCAAATGTTTAATCTCCATCAATTTTTACAATCATATTTTTATTCTTTAATTTGATTGTTAAATCAACTTTACATTCATGAAATAAACTAAACTTGATGTAATATTTACCCTTTTTATATATTGCTGAATTTCTTTGGCTAATATTTTATTTAGGATTTTTGTATCTATGTTAATGAGAGAAATTGGCCTGTAAGTTCTTTTTTTTGTTTTTTTTGTAGTGTTGTTTCCAGGCTTGATATCAAGGTTATGCTGACCTTTTATAATGAATTGGATATTATTCCCTTTTGCTATCCCATGAAAGTTTCCATGTAATATAGATGTTGTTTTTATTTTTTTTGTTTTTGTTTTTTTAAAAATATATCTTTATTGATTTCAGAGAGAGGAAAGGCAAGGGAGAGAGAGAGATAGAAACATCAATGATGAGAGAGTTATTGATCGACCCCACAACCAGGGCATGTGCACTGACCGGGAATCGAACCCCAATCGCCTGGATCCCAGGTCGACACTCAACCGCTGAGCCATGCCTGGCTGGGCTGTTTTGTTTTAATGTTTGGGAATTTTTACTGATGAAGCCATCTGGGCCTATAATATTTTGGGTAGGGAATTTTTTTTTTTAAATATATCTCTATTGATTTCAGAGAGAGGAAAGGAGAGGGAGAGAGAGAGAGACAGAAACATCAATGATGAGAGAGACACTGATCGGCCGCCTCCCGCATGCCCCCGACTGGGGATCGAGCCTGAAACCTAGGCATGTGCCCTGATGGGGAATCTGTGGTGTTTGGATGCAGTGTTCTATATATGTCAATTTTTTTAGTTGTTTGTTTATATCCTTTGTATCCTTGCAGATTTTTTGTCAGATTGTCCTATCTTTTACTGAGAGAGGTGTTAAAATCTCTAACCATGATTCTAATTTTGTCTATTTCTCCTTTATGTTCTGTCATGTTTTGTTTTATATATATTTGAGATTATGTTATTAAATGCATACTATTTTAAGATTTTTACTCCTTCCTGTCAGATTGGCCCTATCATTATGAAATGTCCTTCATTTCTAGTAATGATCTTTCTCTTAGTGTCTACTTTAACTAATATTAACATAGCTAACCCAGCTTTCTTTTGGTTAAAGTACACATGGTCTATACATATTTTTCATTCTCTTACTTTCAACTTTTCTTTGTCTTTATATTTTAGGTGAAGTTTACATAGGAAATGCAGGATAAATGTTGGATTCTTTCCCTTTATTTACCAATTTTCAAGATATTGAATTAATTCCCTTTTATCTTCCAAATCTGACTGATAGCAAACCCCCAGAGACCCACACCAGCCCAGAGTAGGGCTGAACTGGGTAACCAACAGAATATTGTGAAAATAATACTGTGTGCATTCTGAGACTCCTAAGGTCTTAAAATATATGTGGCTTCCTCCTTGTGTCCTCTCTGTTCACTTTCTCTGCAGGGAGGTCATCATCGTGAGGACACTCAAACAGTCCTTGGGAAGACCCATGTGTAGAAGAACCGAGGCCTCCTGCTAACAGTTAACACCAACAGCAGCTGTTTGACTGAATTATCTTGTAAGCACATCCTCCAAGCCTTCAACTGACGGCAGCCCCAGTTGATGTCTTAACTGCAATTCCATGAGAGAGCCAAAGCCTTCAAATTTCTTTTCCCACCCCCTCAAATTGTGTGAAATATTAAATATTTAATGTTCTTTTAAGCTGCTAAATTTTAGGGCAATTTGTCACACAGCAATAGATAACTAATACAGATTTGGATGCATGGAAGTGAGATGTTGCCCTAGCAAAAACCTAAACAGTTGGAGTGGCTTTGACAGTAGGAGGAAGCTGGAAGAACTTTGAGAAAATAACCAGTGAAAGCCTTAGAGGTCTTGAAGAGACTGTTAGCAAAATTCTGATAGCCTTTGAGAGAAGGCTACCAGTGTCTATTTAAAGAAACATGAGGACAGTGGTTTTGGAAACTGGAGAAAAGGGAGCCTTTTTCATTTAGTGGTAGAAAGTTTAGCGACAATGCTGCCGACAGTAATGTAGAAGGTAGAAAATGTACCTAATGAAATGGGTGACCTATTTAAAAAGATTTGCAAGAAGGGTATTGAAAAGTGTTGCCTAATTTCTTCTAGCTTCTTAGAGTAAAATGTGAGAGGAGAGAGAGAAGTTATAGGAAGGATTGTTTAACAAGAAGGAGCAAGAATTCTTGGGTCAGAAAATTCCTAGCCTTTTCAGATGGCAAATAAAGCTAATACAAACAAATGGCAAGTGGGAAAGATCATATTTAGGGCCCTCTCAGGGAATCCTTGCCTAAAGATGAAGATGAGAGTGAGAGTAAGACCTTAGAACGATCCAAGGTGGTACCTCAAAGAAGAGTTCAGTCAAACAATATGATTCTAGAAAGCTGATGAGAGTTATCCTGCAGCACTTTCAGCAGAGGCTCAAGGTACAGGGTTGTCTCAAAGAGATGTCCTAAAGGGATTTTTGTCTAATGGGTAAATCTTAATAAGATTCATAGAAGACCCTCAAAGTTGGCAGGACCACCAGCAGCTTGAACTGTAAGACAGTAGGAAATGAAAAGAAACCTTTCAATCCCCAAACTCCTTCGGACTAGAAGCAAGCTGAGACTGCTCAGCTACCAACACAGACTTGCTTTCAGATGAAAGGAAGGATGACAGGTCAGTGGGCAGAGCCATGGTCTCAGAGGTGGAGCCAAAAGCCACAGAGAATTATTCCCAGGATTTGAATCCTAATCAGAGGATTGCCAACAAGTGCCTGCTAGATTCAAATTTTCTACGACTCAGTGATTCTCGTGTGCCTGCCTTCCCCCTACCCCCCCCC